GATGATATTAATAAAACTAACTTATAAATAGAAGTGGAGGAAATAAAATGTAAACTCCCATATCTATATAGTAAAAAAAAATTTTTTTTTGATATGTTGCCATCAAAAGTCTAAAAGTTATCTCTAAAAATTTTTAGCAACAATTTTTTACTGTCAAAAGATTATCACCAAGAATTTTGTTGCTAATAAATTTTTATGATAATAAATATAATTGCCACCAAAAGTGTATATTTAGCAATGATATATTTGTCGCCAATAAGAGTTTATCTTTTGTCACCACTAAAAGTATATTTGGCAACGACTATGTTTATTACTGCAAGAAATTAAACTATTAGCAACAAAATTTTTAATGATAACGTTTTGGCGACAACAAAATTTATTTAAAAAAACTAAAAGAACCATTCCATACCATGTCACTCTGCCATATTTGCACCTCTACTTGTACCCGCCACCTCATCATGCCACGTGTGCTCCTCCTCATGCCACATCACCTAACACCTCACTCCAGGACACTTCATCACATGTAACCCTCCTTGTGTCACATCATGCATCACATCGTCACATCTCTTGTCACATGATGCCATGTCGCCATCATGCACCACGTTATATATCCATTATAAATTATGCCTAAACTAATATTTAAACCTTTAACCTTCATCTCTTAAGCTTTAAATTCTCTTTTTTTATTAATTAAATTAAAATGTACCTATAATTATTATATATAATATTAAATATATATTATTTAACTGTATACATACTTTTATATATATATATATAAGTAGAAGGTTGCAGGTTCTACCTCAATTGTCACTCCAGGCCATTAGTATTCACTTTTTCAATTAAAAAAAAATTTGCGTGGTTGTAGGACAATGATTCCTTTAAGATGATGGCAAGAAATGGCCCATCAAAGTCAGCTAGAAAGCAAGAAAGAAAGAGATCGATAGCTATGGAGTGAATGAGCTACACAATTTAATTGTCTATTTGTTTAAGCTTAAGATTATACATGGAATATAATATGCTTTTTAATTACTCTTTTTATTTTTATATATAAAATATTTTCAATTGAATTATGTAAATTAATAAAAATTAATTATCTAATTAAAAGTACAATAATATTTTAATTTTTTCTTAGTTATTGTAAATAAAAAAATGAATATCTTTTTTTTAAAATGAATTAATAAAACTATTTATTTTTTTCTCTTTCAAATTTAATAAGGATATGATGATCAATTTATTAAAAAATATATAAATAATATCTTATATTTAAAGATAATAAAAGATTTTAGAAAATCTTACATATAGAAACGGAAGGAGTAAGTCTTATGATTGGCCCTACCTTCAGAAGTTGACGCCCGTGCAAGTTCACATATCATGAACCCCTTTTCATATTGAATCGATTTTAGAGTGGGGGTCTCAACACACACACACAAAATAACAAAGAAATCATCTTTCTAAAAGATAATTCTTATATATATATATATATATATATATATTAAAAATCCTTGAGCTTTTCTTCTTACCATTCTTTCTGTGATTGGTTTTGATGATTTGAAAATTCTTTTGTTTCAGCTTCAAAATCTATCCTTAGATATATATGTGTGTATTAGATTAAACATTTTAAATTATTAAACCCTTTTAATTTTCATAAAGATTAAAATGTTAAAATAGTTTTAATCTTTATAATTTTATTTATTAAAATAGTTATAAAGATTAAAATGTTAAAATAGTTGCAAGAGTTAAAATTTAAGAGATTGAGTTACAACTGAATTAAAGCTATAAAGACTGACTTACATTAAGTAAAAATTCAAGGATAAATGAGTTACAATTGCATCAAATTACAATGATCAAATGATTTGGGCCCATTTGTTTAAGATTAAAATGTAAGTAAGTTTTAAATAGTTCATAGATTCTTATAAAAATATATTTATTTTTATAGATATTTTATAAAAAGTACACATTATTTTATGTTTGGTTATAATAAGAAAAAAGTAATTACTAGTTAGTTATAAATTTTATGATATCTTTTTTATTTTTATTTTATAAAAATAATTTGTTATTTAATTATTTTAAAATTTTATTATATCTTTACATATCTTGTCTTCTTAATTTTTTTCTTTTGGTTTGCCATTTGAATCGAACTTGCAATTTGTAGGTTGAGTGTGCAGCACACAAACCATCAAGCTACAAGTTTTCATGGCTGTCTTCTTAAAATATTCTCTTATGTATAGTATCATATTATTTTCAAAAGATATTTAAAATAGCTTCTTAAAATAATTGAAAATATGTTTTTTCACATTTAGATTACTTTCAAAAGTTTAAATAGATATCATGAAAACTTACAAATTATTTTTTTTTCCCAAAAAAAGTGATTCTTTTATAAAATAAGTTAAAATAGATATGCTCAATTTTCCCTTTTTCATATTATGTTTAGAAGAATCCAGTTCCTTTAAAACCGTTTTTGGTTTCTGGCGACTTCTTGATTCTAGTTCAACTTGACTCGACCATCAGAACATCTTTTCAGTTTAAACTGAGCTGTTATCAACTCCAGTCAACAACTGGTCTGACTTGTGGCGTATTGGGTTCTTAAAACAACGGTTGCAACGTTCTTTTTTACTTAAGTCGTTTTATCTCAGCCTTACCACAAGGTTAACGGAGTGCCGGCGACCATGGGAGAACAATCAGCAGTGGAAAGGGTTGTGGGAGAGGGTGAGAAGGGCAAAACGGCCAATGCATAAGACAGCTGAGGATATAATTGTCCCAATATATACGGCACTCAATAATTGGAGCCTAACATTCAATACTTGTGCCACCTGCAACTACAAAACAATCTCAACCACAACTCTTGGCCAATTCAGATCCAAACTTTGTATATCCAACATCAACAATCTAAACCAATAATGTATCTTGAAGCTACATTATAGTGACGTACTGGTATTGATGACCAGAAGTTAATTACATCACGATTGATCGGATCAGACAAAATCTGATCGCAAGCAAATTAAAGTCCTCATACATACTTGTCGTTGAATATCCACCTTACGTGCTACCACCAGATGTGTCTCCATCTGTACATAACATCAATAGTGACCACAGGGTAATTCGATACGTGTCACAAATCAAGCAATGCAAACATATTTCTATCTCTCTTTCCCATCAATGATCCTGTTTCTTTGTGGCTGCATTTCCACAGTTTGTCACCTTCCATTTTGGCATTTTGCCCCCTCAACATACACGTGAGTCCGCCCATGATGATTGTGTTATCATCATCGATGACTGTGTTATTCCACGAATTTGCATTCTATGTGTATCTCAGATCCTTTCAGACAACCATAGAGTTTCATCAAGGCTTAAAAATTCATGCTTGATGAGAAATAAATGAAACCATGAGTTAAAGGACAATTTTATGAAGATGTATTTTAATCATTTCTATTTGCAGCCATATAAACCATTTGCTTAAAATATAATATATGAAAAAGGTCTAGTTATAGTTTGGTGTACTCTCTATATCTTGCATATTAATATTTCTAGCAATCATATGTGATTTAATTTACGATTTTTAAATTTTAATCCCAAGTCCTAACTGGCCCAGTACGTACATAGCTTGACAGAAAGAATCACAATGGCCGCAGAATATAGGGTTTGCTTCCATGAACACAGCCTACAAATTAATATGCTATGATTGAAAAAATTCAAACTAGAATGATATTATCTGTATTTTATATATATATATATATATTATTTTTATTTAATTATTATATTATCGATTTGATTGTTAGTCTAATCAATTAAATTATTAAAACTATGACTCATCTAACTTTCTGGTTTGTCATCTATTCCAGTGTATAGGATAACTTCAATTTCACACAACCCAAAGAAGCGTCCTCTTGCCCTATGGCCAAACAAAATAACAGACAAGCGTCCTTGTACCATGCAGATGTTTAATTATCGTTGAATATATCCACCTTACGTTCGTACCATATCATTTGTCTCTATATACTTGTTTTTTTGACTGATCTATATAACCTAAATAGTGACAATATATAGGGTGAGGTATACGTGTCTACATCAACACATCTATATGTGTAGTGCCTCCATGATCCTGTTTCTACAATGATGAAGGATCTAATAATTGACGTCGCCTTGAGGAAATCAGATGCCAAGTTGTGCACGCCACCAGTGCGTATCTAGAACCAACTTAATGGAGAGGCCAAAATACAACATTACATTATTAAAATTAATTTTACCATTTTTGACAAAAAAACAAAGTAATTTTAACGAATTTTTTGTCATGGTTGCTTCCCCCGCTAAATCCCTCTATGCACACCACACCCCACACACATAAACATAATCCACATCTAAATTTGAAATCAACGAAAACGAATTTAAAACACCAACCATGTATATCTACTCCCTCTAGCCTTTATATAAAACAAAGTTTGAAAGAATTTTACCTTAATATGAGTTAATTAATATTATTTTAATTATGCCTTGTTCTTGGAATTTAAAACTCCAATGTGCTCTTGGAATCATGTTAGGCGCATAAGTTCAAAAGGAGAATGAATTTCAAAAAGCTAACATGTTGGACGGAAGAACTGTTAAATTTATAAATCCATTCCATGGCACCTCTCAATAAGAGGTAGGCTGATATTATGAGTACAAATTTAAAGAAAAAATTCATTTCAGGAGAGTAGTTTGTTAGGTGAAAGAATCTTTTTAATTCATAATTCACAGTTTTCTTGTGAGGCTTTGGATATGAGACTCAGAATGAAACTTCGACAATCTTCTGGACATATTTACTGGTAAAAAAAAATCTCCTGGTCATATTTCATTGCTCTTTGAACAAGGAAGAATATCCACACAAAATAAGCAAAATCTAAGAAATTTAAATATTTTTTGTCGCGTTGCTCGTGCAAATTTTGACAGCCACAAATTAAACAATATTTTAATATATTGTCGTCCCATTATCATTATAAATATTGGTTCCTGGATCAAACTCGAAACACAACTAATTACGTAAAGAGTCTCAATCTTTCTCAATCCCTTTGCAATCTTCTTATTAATTTGTGTGATAACATGGCTCCACCTGCAGCATTTTCCGGTGAAGTAGTGTATACTGTGAGGAGAAGCCAACCGGTACTGGTAGCTCCGGCAAAGCCCACCCCTCGTGAATTGAAGCTGCTCTCTGACATAGATGATCAAGATGGTTTACGATTTCAAATCCCTATGATACAGTTTTATCGTCACAAGCCTTCCATGAAAGGCAAGGGCCCTGCGAAACTCATCAAGGATGCTTTGGCTCAAGCTCTGGTGTTTTACTATCCATTTGCAGGTCGGCTCAGGGAAGGTCCTGGTCGAAAACTTATGGTAGACTGCAATGGAGAAGGAGTCATGTTCATTGAAGCCGATGCAGATATCAGTTTGAATCAACTTGGTGACCCTCTTCAACCTCCCTTTCCATATCTGGATGATTTCCTTTACAAGGTTCCTGGTTCAGAAGGAGTTGTTGATTGTCCCCTCTTAATTTTCCAGGTCTTAGTTCCTCCCTCTCTCATAAGAAATTTTGCCCTGGAGTTTAATTCCAATAACATTTTTTTGGCCAAAAAAATGACATTATTTTGTTAGGAGAATGACAAATAAATCCGCTTGTAATAGGAAAATTAAATGATCAAATAAATAGTATCACGAAATAAAGTAATTACTCAATTTTTTAAGGATTTATTAGATATAATTTTTGACAAAATTATGTTTTTGACCTTCATAAATTAACGAAAAAATTAGTATTTAATAGCATAGGTAAGATTGTTAACATGAAATGTATATTTGTTAGTTTAATTATGTAATAACAAGTATGTTTTATATCTTCAAAACTTCATTTTAGTGATTAACTTTAATTTAGATATTAATAACACAACTGGCTATAAATTTAATTTAATTATGCAATAACAACTAAATTTTCTATATTAACAACATTATTTTTTTATTAAAAATTTTAGTTTAGATTTTGGGAATTATGCTTTCTATTATTTTGTAGATAGTCAAAAATGTAATTTTGGGGAAAAAAAAATATTTACGTCAAATAAGTTTCTATAGACTTCAAAATAATTACCTCATTTCATGGCATTATTTTTTTTATTTGTTTATTTCGATGGAATTTATTTTCCATTCTCACTATTTTCTTTTGAGAAGTAAATATAAATTACATATATTTAACTTTGGAATTCTGTTAAATATTTATAAAAAATTTTCTTTTCCAAATTTACACGTTTTGTTTTTGAAAAACAAAACCAAAGAAGGAAAATAAAGAAAGAAATAAAAAATCAGGCCACCATTTCATAAACTTTTCCCAACATATCTAAGCCTCCTTTGCATACTTTTATAGGAATTTTTCATATATTTTTAAAAATTAAAATTAAATATCTATAGTTTCAACTACTATTCGGGCATCATCTAGAGATTCTTTTTTTTTTTTCATGTTATGGAGAACAACGCCTTGGGAAAATGTGAGTAGAGCGAGATGGCAACTAATCTTAGATGATTGCATCTAATCTCAGCTTTATGAGAACCTCTTGGTGTTTCCTTTGCAAAGAAAGTTTTCAAAATTTAACCAACAATAGTTGGGTCAACTGGAATGAATCAACTTAATTCTACAAGAGTAGCAAAGCTAACATTAAGGTCTCGTTTGATATGATTGAATAGTTTTTGATGAAATTGGAATCGGAATCGAAATTATAATTAAAATCAGAATTGGAATAGAATTAGATTACAAAAATATGTTTGATATGTCAGAAAAATTGGATGAAATTCTTACATTATTTTTGTTTGGTACGTTCCATGAAAATAGAATTATACTTAAAAGACAAAAATACTCCTATGTAGAAATTAAAATAAAACATAATAAAAGCTTAATTGTGTTTCAATTTCCTTATGTATTTTATATGTTAATGAAATATTAGATAGATGATAAATATTATATATAAGTAAAATATTTTACAAAAAATATTTTAATTTCCTCACATGTTTAGTATATAAATAAAATATTAGATAGATGATAAATATTATATATAAGTAAAATATTTCATAGAAGAAATATTATAAATACATATATCGTATTATATTTTACACATACACACATATATTATAATTGGGTGTGGTCATTTTTGGGTGTGGTTAGGATTATATGTTTTTAGGGTAAAATTATCTTTCTATAATTTTTATGAGGGTAAAAGTGCCTTAAAAGTCACAATTTTATAGAATTGCCATTGATTTCATAGCTTTAAACAAAGAATTCAATTCAACCTATTTTCATGGAATTGGGATTCTTGAGAATTATGATTCATGTCTATCAAACATCACTTTATTCAGATTCTTTTTTCAATTCCAGTTCCATCTCTACAATTCCAGTCTACCAAACATGGCCTAAGAGTAATAGTATTCACAAGATGGAAAGGGACATGACAGAACTTGGACACTCTTATTCCGTTTTCCCGTCCCTAAGAATGAATGAAACTAATTTTTTATCTTGTGTCACACCCACACAAATAGACCATGATTTTTAAGCTTGACATTTTTCATTGACAGCGTCCAAGGGTGGGACCGAAAGGCAGCATAATCAATATTTTTCTTTAAATGTCTTAATTATGCTATTGCACAAGTTAATAAACTACATTCTTTTTGTTAAAAAATGTAATGTATTTTTAATCGAATCTCACCGATCACTAAATTAGTTACATATTTTCAAACTAACTCTACCTTTCTATATTTACTTTTATTTAATAGGGTATTTCACTCTAAAATAAATATAAAGTGATTTATTTAAGAAGAGCACTTTTGAAAAAAAGGATAATTATTACATCTTGAAAGACTAAAAATATTTTATATTTTTTAACATCCAACCCTTTAAAAAATACCTTATATTTTTGAACAAAGAGAGTGCTATTTTAATATATTAATTCAAAAATTAAAATAAACTAAACATTTTCAACCATGTTATTTTGCAATATTAAAAATTTCACCTAACAAATTGAAAAAATAGATAGAAAAATACAAGATCTAAAAGGGCTAATCCTACTAGTGTAACTAGGGACTGCAAGATAATTTAATTTAAAAACTACTAAAGTTTTTAAAAATAATAATTAAACTAGGGCTAAAATTGCCATAACACAAGTAGATTAATTATCATTTTTCTTTTTGAAAAATTACCTATTGATGTGATTTTTAATGTAAATATGCTCTTCATATTTTAATTTGACCCTTAAAATATCATATAACTAATAAGCTTTTGAGTCCCAATATTTTTTATTTAGCTCAAAAAGTGTAAAATATCAAGAGTAAGGTGCAAAGTTGAAAATTTACATACCCTACTTGCTATAACATAATTATTGCACATTATGTTATAGGTTACACGCCTCAAATGTGGTGGTTTCATCTTAGCCTATCGCCTAAACCACACTATGAGTGATGGCGCTGGAATAGTCCAATTCCTAAAGGCCTTGGCAGAAATTATTAGAGGTGCAAATCAACCTTCTATTCTTCCTGTGTGGTGTAGAAACCTCCTATCAGCAAGAGATCCACCAAAAATTACACGCACACATCGTGAGTACGAGGAATTGCCCAATATGTATGATCCAATATGGACCCAAGAAAGTGTGGTTCACCATTCTTTCTTCTTTGGACCCAACAAGTTACAGGCCATTCATAAATTGTTTTCCCATAACAATGGACAACGCAATACTAGGTTTGAAGTTCTCACAGCATTCCTATGGCGTTGCCGCACTAAAGCGTTGCAATTAGAGCCACACGAGGAAGTTCGCTTTATGTGTATTAATAGTGTAAGGGGCAAATCAAGTCCTCCATTATTGCCACTTGGTTATTATGGGAATGCTTTTGTGTACCCAGCCTCAGTCACCACTGTAGGGAAGCTTCTCGAAAATTCATTGGAGTACGCCTTAGAGATAGTGAAGAAGGTGAAATCTGAAGCGACGATAGAGTATGTACAGTCTGTAGCTGATCTTATGGTGATTAAAGGACGACCTTGCTTTGCTATGCCTGGAACATGGCTTGTGTCAGATACGTCACGTCTTGGGTTTAGAGATGTGGATTTCGGATGGGGTAAAGCGGTGTACGGTGGACCGGCAACGGCAGGAGCCGGTCCCTTTGCAGGAGTGAGCTATTATGTTGCATGTGAGAATGCAAAAGGAGAGGAAGGTGTAGTCGTACCTTTCTACCTACCGCTCAAAACCATGAAGAGGTTCATCCAGGAATTGGATAATCTACTTGGGGAACTTCAACAATAATCAAGCGTCTAAAACAAATGAGCCTTTCCTGTAGCTAGCTATTATAACTATGGCTGAAGACTAGATTGCCTTAAGTATTGTGCATGGTTTAGTTTTTTTTTTTATTAGCTTATAATTATATATGCTTGGATTGGTTGTAGATCCCTGTAATTATTGAACGAGTTTCTGTGTATTGTCTGTATTCACTACAAAAAAACAGACTTTTGACGACGATAAAAGCCGTCAAAAGTCCAAAAGTCATCGCTAAAAATTTTTAATGGTGACTTTCCGTCGCTAAAAGGTCATTGCTGTAACAATCATCACTAATAATTTTTTATAGTGACAAATTTTGTCGCCACCAAAAGTAGACTTTAGTGGCGACAAATTCTTTTTCCATTAAAAGTCTTTTTGGCTGCGACAAAACTTTTTTTTTAATAAATAATAATTTACTTTATCCCACATCACTCTTCCACGTGTGCATTAAGTGATGTCAAATCACTTGCCATATATGCAACAGATGATGCCACATCACTTGCCATCTTGTGTTACATCACATGACATGTGTTCAACAAGTGATGCCACATCACCTAGCCATCTCATGCCATGTCACATGACACGTGTGCACTTCTTCAAGCTACTTCATGTGCCACGTGACCTGCCACATGTTGCCCCTCAAGCCACCTCATGTGCTATACCACCATCTAGTGTCACATCACCTGCCATGTGTGTGCCTTCTTAAGCCACCTCATGCACCACGTCATCACCACATGCCACATCACATATTTGTTGTAAAATATGGCAAAGTCAAGGTTTGAATTCTTGATTTCTCTTATCTCCAAGCCTTAAATCTCCCTTCTTTACCAGTTGAATTGAAATACACCTACAGTTATTATATACGAAATTAAATATATATTATGTAACTGCATATACATATATCAAATAATATATTATTAAAAAGATATACATATATTATATTTTATTTTCAATTATTAATATGACAAAATGACTTATATGAATATTTAAATTATAATTTTAATAAAATATTATTTTTCACCAGTAAATATTATTTTTTTAGGAAAATGAATTTAAAATAAATAATTTTTAAATATTAAATAATATCCTTATATACATTGTAATCAATTTTTAAATTATATTTTTATTTTTTAAATTAAAATTATTAAGTATATAATTTATTTATAAATATGTGTTGTATTATTTTATGTTAAATATCTTTTACTTTTTTCTTCTCCATATTTTTCTCAAAAATTGATAAACTAAATGATTAAATTTTTATCTTCTCTCAAAATAGGTAAATGTTTTCCTCTCTTTTATTAAAAATATATTTTATCAATAATTTTGCAATATCTTAAAAAATTATTTTAATAACAAATTAATTTTAACCATATAAATTTTGTTAATAGTCATTTTAAATAATTTTGAAAATAAATACTAATAACATTTACAATATATGATAATTACAAGAATCTCATATATGATTCATCTAGTTAACATCTAATCATTCTCAACCTCATGGCAAGGTAGATTTGAGTAGTTATTCATATTATTCTGAGCAATAATTAGTTATAAAAATGTTATCAGTAACTTCTTTTTTATAACAATAAAAACCTAAATATACTAGGAGGAATTACATGAAATCCCTGTCCAAAAGTCGTTAGAGCTCAATAGAAGAAGTAAACACTATATGTATATCAAGCCAAGTATCAAGTGCGTAATATGCTAAGTAGTCTACAATATCATTTGTATCTCACAACATTTGTACAACTTTAACTTTTCAATGTCATTTATATATTTGATTATAAGTAATAATTTATGTATAACTTAACCTAATTATAATTGAATTAATAACCCATTAATATTTTAATTTACCATGTTAAAATACTAGCTTAATAACATAATTCTTAAAAAAATATGAGCTATATATATCTAAAAAATAATTATGAATAATATAAAATTAGAAATAATTTAATAATTAAACTTAGCACATCTTGAATTTTTTTTGTTTCATGTTCCTACATATAATTTATTTCTAATTCTATACATAAAATAAAAAATTTAATTTTATAAATATATTTTGAATAATTTTATTTAATTTTAAATTTTTAAAACAATTCATAATTTTTTAAGAAAATTAAATTATAAATTTTTTAAAAAAATTGAATTGTAATTTTATAAATATTGCTGTCAAAAGTAGATTATATAAATTATTTTTTATAAAAATACTTTTGATGGCGACAAATGTTACCACTAAAAGTAGATTATATTAATTATTTTTTAAATTTTTAAATTATTTTTTATAAAAATATTTTTGATGGCGACAAATGTCACTGCCAAAAATAGATTATATTAATTATTTTAAATTTTTAAATTATATTTTATAAAAATACCTTTGGTGGCAACAAATGTTGTCACCAAAAGTAACTTTTAGCGGTGATAAATTAAAATCGTCGTCAAAAATAGACTTTTAGCGGCAACATTTAATAGTTGCCGCCAAAAGTATAGTTATGATGGCGACTTTTGGCAGCGACTTTAATTTGTCGCCGCTAAAAGTCTATTTTTGGTGGCAATTTTTTTAATCATCGTTAAAAGTAGCCGTCAAAAGTCATATTTTTTATAGTGATTTCTTTGCATGCATGCATATACATACATACATAGTTTGTGTTATCATATGACTTTGTAACTCCATAGAATTGGATTCTATGAATATCTCAAATCTTCTCATCCTTCGACCAAAAAAGAACAACAAATCCTCTCATCCAATGAGTGTCCACATTGCAATCATAAAATTTTATCAATGTTTTGAAAATTCATGTTTGATCAGAAATAAATTAAATGGTAATTTAAATGATAATTTTATGAAGATATATAATAATTATTTTTATTTGAAACTAAATAAATCATTCGATTATAATACACACACATAAGACATAAAAAAGGTAGACTTGTGTGGTTTGATGTTCTCTCTATATCTTATGTTAATATTTCTGACAAACCATTTGACTGGATCAATGATTTCTATATTATAATCCCAAGTCCTACCTGGCCGTGTATATCAAAATGAACTCTGATTAATTTCATACTCAGGCAGTTGATCATACGGCCGAAGATCGAGCAGCAACATTTCTTCATGGCATGATGGGGCTCATAAATGGATCTATCATTTAATTTGGGCCAAGGAATCGAGAGGTTCTTATTCAATTAAAAGCTAGTGGAGCCATGCGAAGTTAATGAAATAACTAAGCATGACCAAGTCAACATCTATATATCCGTCCCAGCCACCTCACAATCAATAGCAAGGAGGAAATTGAGGATCGATCTCACCAAAGGTTGTCAGAATCAAAAATTAAATTTCATCTTTATTGAGGCGGAAAAGTCAACCATGAGGAGGACTGCTCCATCGCACCTTGATAGGATCGATCATACTCTTCCATATATCACTTTCAATTCCTCATGCATTTCCTTCTGGAGATCTATCAAGAAAATTGCAGATATCTAGAAAATTTTTCAGACTTTTCTCTTGTATTCTTTATTCATCGCAAGCAAGTCAGATTTGATAGCTGATTTCATCCTCATGCAAGAGATCTATAAGCTACTATACTCTACTTCATCTTCTTTTCCATATACAAGGTCGGGGAAATTAGAATCATGCAAAGAAACAACAACCAAGTCATATGTAATATCATAAGATTTCTACAATCAAGTGCCAAGCAGTCAAAAATCTTAATATTAAAATTATCACAGGATAGATTGATGTGTGCTACTATACTCTTTTAAATTATCTAGCGTAGAAATCCTCGCTAGGAGTAAAATAGAAAGGTGGAGTAGTCTATTTAGTTTTTATATTTCTCCATAGATTGATGACATCCTAGTCTTGTAATATTTTCATATATAGTTGTTCTTAAATGATCAAAAAAACTAAATCGGTGGCTAGAAAGTCATCTACAAAATTTTACAACATTTCACTCATGCATGTATCTTAAGGTCAGGTTGGTCAGGATGATCAATGGAGCTAATTATGAGCTATGGATATGATGTACAAGGTAGACTAATTGTTTACATTTAACTAACTTTGACTAATTTTTTAGGGTCATTTGTTTTAGATTAAAAAATAAGTTATTTTTAGATAATTTTATAGCAGTTGAAATTATTGTATGTTTAATTACAATAATAAAAAATTATTATGGCTTTTTAATTTTTAAATTTTACAATATGCTCGTGGATCTCTCTAATTAAAATTATTATTTAGTTATTTTAAAATTTAATGACATTTACTCTGTATGTGTTTTCATATTTTTATAATATTATCTCTCATAGATCACATCAAGTTATTTTTAAAAAGTTACCCAAAGTAACTCATCAAAATAGTAAAAAAAATTTCACACTATGATTATATAAAAACTTAAACAAATATAATAAAATTTTACAAAATTAAGTTTTTAAAAAATAATTTATTTTTTCATGAAAAATCGCTTATTTTTTCAAATAGACTCCTAGGCAATGTTTGGTACCAAAAAAAAATGTTTTCTCAAAAGGAAATGAGAAATGTACCAAGAAAAAAAATGAAATAAGTGTATTTCTCATTTCCTTCTAGAAAATATATTTTTACCTACTCAACAAAACATTAATCTCATGAAAGTAATTAGTAGTTGGCTACAAAGGGGCAAGGAACGAGGAGGAAGTAGTTTATCTTACTCCAGTCTAATTTTTCACAGTGATGCTACATTGAAGGCTTCAATAATTATTTTAGAGGCTCATTGGGTATCATTTTGGATCCCAAACACATGATCCAATCGGTGAACCTCTTTATAGCATTGGGAGGCAAGTAGAATGGTACCACTATTCATTCCTCCGATCTCCTTTTGCATTCTCACACAAAACATAATAGCTTATTGCAGGGAAGCCGCCGGCCCCGGCCATTGCCGGACCAATATACACTGCCTTGTCCCATCCAAAATCCACATATCTAAACCCTAGTCGTGTCGTGTCCGACAGAGGAATGCTGTGAGGGCTTCAAGCCTAGTATGGTGACCATTATAATAAGGGAACGATTGATTGATGGCCTCTAACTCTTTGGCTCCAAAGAAGAAAGACTGATGAACACCATCTTCTTGTGTCCACATTTGATAATTAGGCACTTCTTCAAACTCATCATGCGTGCATGTGATTCGAGGTGGATC